AACACCCCATTAACACCAGTGGATAGAACATCCAGACAGAAAATCAACAAGGAAATTATAGAATTAAATGAAAAATTAGACCAGATGGACTTAATAGATATATATAGAACACTTCATCCAAAAACAGCAGGCTACACATTCTTCTCAAGTGCGCATGGAACATTCTCAAGAATAGATCATATTTTGGGAAACAAAGTAAGCATCAATAAATACAAGAGAGTTGAAATAATATCAAGCATCTTTTCTGATCATAATGCTGTGAAACTAGAAATCAACTACAAGAATAAAGCAGAGAAAGGTGCAAAAATGTGGAGACTAAACAACACGCTACTGAACAAACAATGGATTATTGAAGTAATTAAAGAAGAAATCAAATATTATCTGGAGACAAATGAAAATGAGAACACATCATACCAAATCATTTGGGATGCAGCAAAAGCAGTCCTAAGAGGGAAATTCATTGCAATACAGGCTCACCTCACTAAACAAGAAAAAGCTCACATAAGCAACCTCAAACGACACCTAACAGAATTAGAAAAAGAAGAACAAACAAAGCAGAGAGTCAGTAGAAGGAGGGAAATAATAAAAATAAGAGCAGAAATAAACGATATTGAAACAAAAAAAGACAGTAGAAAGGATCAATGAAACAAAGAGTTGGTTCTTCGAAAAAATTAACAAAATCGGCAAACCCTTAGCCAGACTCACCAAGAAAAAAAGAGAGAAATCTCAAATAAATAAAATTAGGAATGAGAGAGGAGAAATCATAACAGATACCAAAGAAATACAAGGGATCATAAGAGAATACTATGAAAAACTATATGCCAACAAATTGAACAACCTAGAAGAAATGGACAAATTCCTGGACTCTTACAATCTCCCCAAACTGAACCAGGAAGAAATGGAGAATCTGAATAGGTCAATCACAAGTAAGGAAATAGAAATGGTAATCAAAAACCTCCCCCAAAATAAGAGTCCAGGACCAGACGGCTTCTCTGGAGAATTCTACCAAACATTCAAAGAAGATTTAATACCTTTCCTTCTCAAATTATTCCAGAAAATTGAGGAAGATGGAGTACTCCCTAACACATTCTATGAAGCCAACATCACTCTGATCCCCAAACCTGACAAGGACAACACAAAGAAGGAGAACTACAAGCCGATATCACTGATGAACATACATGCAAAAATCCTCAACAAAATTCTGGCAAACCGAATGCAGCAATACATCAAAAAGATTATACACCATGATCAAGTGGGATTTATACCAGGGACACGGGGATGGTTCAACATCTGCAAGTCAATCAACGTGATACACTACATTAACAAAATGAGAAACAAAAACCACATGATCATCTCAATAGATGCAGAGAAAGCATTCGACAATATCCAACACCCATTTATGATAAAAACCCTTAATAAAATGGGTATAGAAGGAAAGTACCTCAACATAATAAAGGCCATATATGACAAACCCATAGCCAACATCATACTCAATGGACAAAAACTGAAAGCCATCCCTCTGAGGACAGGAACAAGACAAGGGTGCCCACTTTCACCACTCCTATTCAACATAGTACTGGAGGTGTTGGCCGGAGCAATTCGACAGGAAAAAGAAATAAAAGGAATCCAAATATGCAATGAAGAAGTAAAACTCTCGCTGTTTGCAGACGACATGATCTTATATATAGAAAACCCAAAAGAATCCATAGGAAAACTACTAGAAACAATCAACAGCTACAGCAAAGTTGCAGGGTATAAAATCAATATACATAAATCAGTAAAATTTCTATACACTAACAATGAACCAACAGAAAAAGAACTCAAGAACTCAATCCCATTCACAATCGCAACGAAAAGAATAAAATACCTTGGGATAAATTTAACCAAGGAAGTGAAAGATTTATACAATGAAAACTACAAGACTTTCTTGAAAGAAATTGATGATGACATAAAGAGATGGAAAGACATTCCATGCACATGGATTGGAAGAATAAACATAGTTAAAATGTCCATACTACCTAAAGCAATCTACAGATTCAACGCTATCCCAATCAGAATCCCAAGGACATTCTTTACAGAAATTGAACAAAGAATCCTAAAATTCATATGGGGCAGCAAAAGACCGCGAATTGCTAAAGCAATCCTGAGTAAGAAAAACAAAGCCGGAGGCATCACAATCCCCGATTTCAAAACATACTACAAAGCTACAGTGATCAAAACAGCATGGTACTGGTACAAAAACAGATGCACAGATCAATGGAACAGAATTGAAAGCCCAGAAATAAAACAACACATCTATGGACAGCTAATCTTTGACAAAGGAGCTGAGGGCCTACAATGGAGGAAAGAAAGTCTCTTCAACAAATGGTGCTGGGAAAACTGGACAGCCACATGTAAAAGAATGAAAATTGACCATTCATTTTCACCATTCACAAAAATAAACTCAAAGTGGATCAAAGACCTAAAGATTAGGCCTGAGACAATAAGTCTTCTAGAAGAGAATATAGGCAGTACACTCTTTGACATCAGTTTCAAAAGAATCTTTTTGGACACTATAACTCCTCAGATGAGGGAAACAATAGAAAGAATAAACAAATGGGACTTCATCAGACTAAAGAGCTTCTTCAAGGCAAGGGAAAACAGGATTGAAACAAAAAAATAGCCCACTAATTGGGAAAAAATATTTACAAGCTACTTATCCGACAAAGGATTAATCTCCATAATATACAAAGAACTCACACAGCTTAGCAACAAAAAAACAAACAACCCGATCAAAAAATGGGCAGAGGACATGAACAGACATTTCTCCAAAGAAGATATAAGTATGGCCAAGAGACACATGAAAAGATGTTCATCATCACTAATCATCAGGGAAATGCAAATCAAAACTACACTAAGATATCACCTTATACCCGTTAGATTGGCAAAAATATCCAAAACCAAGAGTGACAAATGTTGGAGAGGTTGGGGAGAAAAAGGAACCCTCATACACTGTTGGTGGGAATGCAAACTAGTGCAGCCACTATGGAAAACAGTATGGAGATTTCTCAAAAAGTTAAAAATAGAAATACCCTGTGACCCAGCCATCCCACTACTGGGTACCTATCCTAAGAACCTGAAATCAGCAATCCCAAGAGTCCCATGCACCCCTATGTTCATCACAGCATTATTTACAATAGCCAAGATGTGGAACCAACCTAAATGCCCAGAAGCTGATGATTGGATAAAGAAGATATGGTATATATACAAAATGGAATACTACTAAGCCATAAAAAAGGACCAAATTGTTCCATTCGCATCAACATGGATGGACCTTGAGGGTATTATGTTAAGTGAAATAAGCCAGACAGAGAAAGACGAACTCTATATGACTCCACTTATAGGTGGAAGTTAACATATAGACAAGGAGAACCGATCGGTGGTTACCAGGGAAAAGGGGGGGTGGGGGGAGGGCACAAAGGGGGAAGTGGTGTACCCACAACATGACTAACAATAATGTACAACTGAAATCTCACAAGGTTGTAATCTATCATAATCTTAATAAAAAAAATAAAAAATAAATAAAAGTTTCCTATATTCAAAGTACTTTGAAAAACCCCGATGATCTGAAATGTAAACGATCAGATTGTTAGGACCTATTTTAGGAAGAGATTGGTGGAATAAATGTATAAAGCAAATCTGGAGTGGTGCAATCTCTTTAGGAGTCAGGTGAGCGAGGAGTATTCTCCACTAAAAAAACAGGAATCTTAAAGGAATCATACATTTGAACAAGTGCTTGGAGGAACTTATTTATGACGAAGAGTCTTCAATGAATGTCTTCAGCAAGCTCAAGCAAGAGGAGAGCAGCCCAAATCAACATTAGCTCACAGCAAGATATCATCGTTCAGCAAAGTTGGTCGGACTTTACTGAATCTAACATTTATACTACTCTAGGAGTAAAGAATTTGCATATCAGGCTGAATAATGTCTAGAAGAAAAAAAGCAGCATCAGTGAAGCGGTCAGATACCAGAGACACATGTAAGAAGGAGTCTAAACACATCTGTCTAAAAACTTCTGAACCTCCTACCACTTCTGCTTTGGTCACTCCTGTGACAGCTTGAGGTTAGTAAGCACAAGGGTCGTGGCCTTGTAGATAACGAGGTACACGGGCTCACATGATAATTAGCGCAGCCAGAGCAGCCACAGAAACTTACTGTAAGCTGACGTTAGTGAAGAAGAGAACGTTCTTAGCATAACATGTGAAACTTTAATAATTCAGCAATTTAAGTTACTTACACGTATATATACATATATAGTGAAAAATAAGACAAGGTAATTGCGGTTTAATTTACAAACATAACCATTTTTCAAAGTTTCTATAAAAACCGAACTTGAATGAGACTGAACTGCAACACTAATTTCTCAAGAGTGAATTCGTTATTTAGAATCATCTCTACAGTATCAGAGAAGACAATACAAAAATCAACCATTTTATGATAAATACTATATAGCATTTTACTGATGTATTGACATATATTCCTTGTATTTTTATTTATAATATCTCACGTAGAACTATATTTTTAAATGTTTCTTTAATTTATGTCTACAGTGAAATATGCATTAAAAGATACTACACCATCCGTGGAATAGTGACATTAAGAAGCCTTGGGCCTCTTGGAAGAGTGGCCAGTGTTCTGGAGCAGGGGTCAGAGAGCTTTTCTGCAAAGGGCCAGACAGTAAATATTTTAGAGGTTGCGGGCCATGTGATCTCTGCCACAAGTACTAATGTTGCCGCATAGCACAAAAGCAGCCCTAGACAATATGAAAACAAACGAGTGTGGTTGCGTTCCAGTACAACTTCATTTACAAAATCCTCCAGTGGGAGATTTTGGCAGCCCTCCTGCAGGGCCACAGCCACCAACCCCTGGACTATCAGACTTGTCCTGCCTATTTTCCCTTCCTAGCTGATGCAACCTTATAAAACAGCCACAAAGTTTAAACAAATAGCAAATCAACATACCTTTACTCCAGGAACTCCGGGAGCACCAAATTCACCTTTAATACCAGCTGCACCCTAGAATATAGAAACGCTCATTAGGAGATTTTTTCAAATGTGTATTAATTGCTAATGTTGCCAGAGAGCAGCTACCATTTCACAGATGAGTGGCTTTCGCTTGCACCAAAGTTGGCACCTTAAGTTCCTTCCTCATACTGTCCACAAGTCGTTAAACTATACTTTTTACAATTAACAAATTATCAAAAAATTAATGATTAATACACACTAAACTGCTAATCGAAACTAAAACTAGACATTCTCCACACAGACATGTGTAATTCAGCTTTGTCATTTCTTTTATATTTATCAGAGGTAAGGAATGATTTTATTGCTGTTACCTCAACTGATCCTTGATGCTTTCAATTCAAATAAGTCATGAAATTTCAGACTGTAATGTACCCATATGTGCTTCATTTAGTGTGCCTGACCTTCCATTACATCCTCCAGGAAAATCCCCAAATCTGGATCAATCCAATTGTCAGCTTCTCTGCTCTCCCACCTAAACTGGAAAAATCTGCTCAATGAAGCCGATGCATTACCCATCTCTGTCTTTATGGCTCTGTCACAAATCAGTCTAATAAATTTATCCTTGAAACAGTGGAAAACAATATAGATTTTTTTCTTTTATTTTTAAATTTTATTTAATTATTTTCTAATATAAACTTTTTGAATGAGTTTCTCTATCACTAATGCTTGATAGAGATTAAGAAATACATTAGAATTTTATGAGTAACATAATGCCATTATTACACTGATATTATATATTAATTTCAGGTTTAAGGCACACAAGTAAACTTCAGGTTCCTACAGATTAAACGAGATTATGTTAGATTGGGTAAAATTGATACAAAAACAAAAAAGATCTGCCAATTAATCCAATATGTTCAATATCGGATTAGAAAAGATGAAGAAATAGTCTTTATTTCTTATACTGACATAGACAAAAAGTCAAAAGCATAATATTAAATCTTACTTCTGTGAGGTTATTATTAAGGGAAGATATTCTTTCTTTTAAAAAAATTATGAACATACTTTGATTCAATTCCTTTTATATTGGTGTGACGTGGCTACAGAATGGGAACATGAGTAATGTCATACTGGAAAGAAAGTAAAGGGAAACTCACCAGTCACCTGTGGGCTAAAATATTAGACGCCTCAGAACGGAGGGTCCATATGGAAGATGAAAGGGTGGGCAGCACACAGGAAGCAACACCAAAGTCTTTGAGTACCGAGTCAAGTAAGTTAACTCACTCCATTTTAAATTGCTTTGATTTTCTCGAAAAGTCTATCAGCAAGGCAATCATTTGACAAAGACTACACTTTTGAGGAAATTAATTAGATATGAGGAAGATAATAATACAAAAATAAACTAGAAAATTGTTCCCAAAATAGAGCTCAGATCACACTCCCCCTTAGTTCCAGAAACACTAGAATTGAGCTGCTCTTTTACAAAAACTCTGAAAGAATTTCAAGTTTAAAGTGGGTGAGGGTATTAGCCGGGGTCTTAAAGAACCGAGAAAGCAAGGCGGTTGCTAAGTAATTAGGTTGCTAACTATACTTGCTAAGAAAAGAGAATTTAAAAATTCAGAAAATTATAATAATTGAGTCTGAATGAAAGGAAATGATTAATTATTATTTCAAATACTGTCATCCACAATTGAGTCTTGGACAAAGGGCATAGTTAGAACAGTCTGATCAGGTGCCCTGATTTAGAATACTGATCACATCTAGGTGTTCAAATATGAGCGGCGGTTGAATCTGAAATCATCTCACTCCATGAGACAGGGTCATCATCTTTATGAAAAAAAAAAGCAGTAAATCAGATCAATGAAGCATTGCAGTGTGGATGAGAAAAAAAGCAAATAAAGATAAATATTAAATCATACCAAAACTTGGGGCTTTTTCCCAAATATTTCTGATTCCTCATTAACTGATTGGCAATATCAAGCTAAAAATAATCAGCTCACTATATGAAAAAGACTTTTGTTTTTTTAAAGGAAAAAGTGTAGCAGAACAACAGCGAATACCATAATAGTCCTTATGATTTAGCTTATCCATCTCTTTCTTTGCAAACTGACTCTTTGCCCTACTTGGCAGGGTCCCCTGGGCAACTGGGAACAGAATTTATAGGTTCTAGAAACAGCCGAGGGAATGACTTAGACTTTCCTTGAGGTACAGTGTTCATTCATTCATTCGACATATTTTTAGCTCCTATTATAAGCTATTCTATATATGGTGCTCACACAACTCATATTCGGGGGGGGGGGGATAAGTAGATGCATAATGATAGCATGTCAGGTGACAATAAAAACGCTAAGAAAAGAAAGAAGATAGAGATGGGACGAAGGGATGCTTTTTATAAAGAAATGTCAGAGCAAGCCTTTCTATTTTAAAGTGATTTCTGAGCAAGAGCCTAAAGGATGTGAAGGAGAGCCAAGTGCATACTGAAGAACATTCGAGCTGTATGTAACCTGGTGCAAAGGCCTTGAGGCAGGAGGGAACAGAGGAGAGGGCAGGAGACGTGGGGAGTGCGGAGTGGGGCAGGGAGACCTCTACAATTTATGTGAAGCTTTGGTGTTTATCTGGAGGGAGACAGGAAGCCACTGGTGGATTCTGACCCAGGTGGGACAGGATTTACTTACATGATTATTCAGAGTATTCGTCTAATTCATAGAATATGGGCATAAGTAAAAGCAACATTTGGTCTTTATAAAGCTGCTACAGATCACGGTAAGGATTTGCAAAACTCAACTTTAGAAATATTGTAACAAGTAATACATAATTTGGAAGGAGATTTGGAAATTGCAATCTCAAAACTTTTCTCATTTTATCTCATTGAGCCAAAAGTAAAATGCACCAAGGTATTAGTAACATAAAGCACGTCATTAATGAGAAAAAGTAAATTATAATTGTTTCTGGATGGTTCTTTTTTTTTGAGGAAGACTAGCCCTGAGCTAACATCTGCTGCCAATCCTCCTCTTTTTGCTGAGGAAGACTGGCCCTCAGCTAACATCCGTGCCAATCTTCCTCTATTTTTTAGGTGGAACACCTACTACAGCATGGCTTGACAAGCAGTGCATAGATCCGTGCCCAGGATCTGAACCGGAGAACCCCAGGCTGTGGAAGCGGAACATGAGAACTTAATAGCTGCACCACCGGGCTGGCCCCTCTGGATGGTTCTTAATCAACATTATCTAAGCATAACAATGCAAGGAATCTCCTCCTCAAAAACCACTACACGACATCCAGGAAAAGTCTTATCAAAGAATATTCGGAACAAAAGGTAGATTTGAATGAAATTTTTAAATTCTTGAGTGACTTTTCGAAAAAATTATCAATAAATTATTAATATTTACTACTAGTAGCATATAATAATGACTCAAGATTTTCATATACTAAAGCATTTAATCAACGGAAAATTCTAAGAGATTATCTCACAAATGAAGATTTATTTGTTTTTGGTCAAGTTACATATGAAACTAAACTGAACCTAAAAGGATTATCTCCACCGCTCCTTCAACAATTACACTGTGGCTAGGAAAGCAGAGGAAACATATATTTGTCAAGTACCTATTATGTGCCAGTTTCCAGTACTAAGTGTTTTATATACATTTTATTGTATTCCTTCTTCACAGTGAACCACTGAGTAGCTGTTATTAAGGATCATTTTCAAAGCAAGTAAGAGGTGGACAGAATCCAATCCCAAATACTTCAGGCACTAAAGTGGTACTCCTTCTAGCACAGAGTCTTACCTCCCCTAAATATCCTTCCTTGTCTTATAAGACCCAAAGGAAAACCTTGAGAACAACATCTGGTCCCCTTAGTAACACTGCACTTCTGATCACAAAATTAACGATTCAATACGCCTTACAGCAAAATGACTTTCTATCTCCATGCTATCCAGGCACTATTTCGTGCACCTGCTCTAACAATGAAAATTATATACCAGACTTAAACACAGAGGAAGCCACCTTTATTTATTGCACATTAAAGTTGCTGGATCACATAGTACAATAGGAACAGGAACAGACTCATCATCAATTCCTTAAAAGGAGACAACACATCCATACTTATTACAAGTGCCAGGAAAGCTAAACACATTCATGGCCACGGTCATCGAAGTCTTATTTATGTGGCAAGAGTTATGCTGGTGTAAGCAGATGCTGGTGCATGTACTGAAAAACTAAAGGAAGTACACTGATATATTATTTGTTTTGTTTTGTAGATTATCAACTTATTTTATCCCAGTGTTTTTGCCTTGCCACTAAAATGTCCCACCACTATGAGTTTTGTGTTGTCTGGAAGTTAAAACAAATGTTAATATTTTTTAAATATATCATAAATGGGAAGTTATGTAATGCACTATAACTCTAAGACACATTTTTGTATATTTTATAGATTTGGCATACTATAAATTTGCTAAGAAGTATCATTTTTACTAGTTCCTTCCTAGTTCTTTTCTACTGGTTTTAATTCCTACAGAGGGAGGCAAGGCTACTTGGACAAATCATCACTAGATTACAAACTCAGTGAGAGCAAGCCCTGTACTTTCTCATTATGCTATCGCTCCAGCATTTAGCACCCTTTTTGTTACAATAAGAGGAACTCCGTAAATAGTTGTGGATGAATGAACAAAAGAAAAATTGCATATTTAGATGTTAAAATGGGAGACATTTACTTATGATTAAAGAGTATGAAGGAAAGATGAGTCTTTAAAAAACATATGCTCTAACAAGGGTGACTCAGTACTTAATCTTTTAAAATCATTTAAAGGTGATTTAACGATTTTCTTAACATTTACCTAGTACTTTTCTTTTTTGTTTTTTTAAAGATTGGCTCCTGAGCTAATCTTCTTTTTTTTTTTCTTCTTCTTCTTCTCCCCAAAGCCCCCCAGTACATAGTTGCATATTCTAGCTGTAGGTCCCTCTGGTTGTCCTATGTGGGACTCCACCTTAGCGTGGCCTGATGAGCAGTGCTAGGTCTGTGCCTAGGATCCAAACTGGTGAAACCCTGGGCCGCCAAAGTGCAGCACACAAACTTAACCACTCAGCGATGGGGTTGGCCCCTACTTAATACTTTTCTTAATAATTAGGACCATACTTCTGATGAATAAATGTTTTTTTAAAGGGACAGGGATGTTTTAAAAGTATTTTACCCCTTCTGAAACCAACATGTGAAATGTCATCCTGTGTCAGTAATCTTAAACTTATAGAATTGGTATGTCAAAGAGCAGGAAAGTCAAGTGAAGAAACATTAATATGTACCACATCACAGTCACCAACAACTAAGCCACATATGCCTTTTCAAAGCACTTTTGTGTCAACTTTATGATGTAGGTAGAGCTGAGGGAAAGGAAGCATAGAGAGACTGGGTGGCCTGGCCAAGTTCACACTGCCAATTAAGCTGACAAGAGCTGGGATTAATCTGGAGATCTTTCTACTCTCTGAGTCCTCTTAATTAAGTTGCCTTGGGCACATCATTTTACCCCTGCATGGTTCTCTCAGTTGCAAAACGAGGATAGAAATATTAGGTTGATGTGCTTTATGCATTTATAATGATTAAAAAAAGATATTACAAGTAGAAGTACTATGTTCAAAGAACAGATAAATAATACTGAAGAGCTTTTAAAATAGAGAGCAGCCTTCAAAATGCATGGTGGTTAAGAGAAGGACACCAGAGTCAACAGGCCTGGATTCAGACCCCAGCTTGACCACTTACCATCTGATCTTGGCAATAATTTAATCTCCCAAAGCTTCAGCTTTGTATAATAGTAATACTAATTCCTAACAAGAAGAGTTGCGAGGATCAAAAAGATAACATATCTAAATCACACTTCCCGGTGCCTGGCACAAGGTAAGCACTCACTAAATATTAGCTATTGCTATCATGATTTATATGTTCAGTTCAACTGGAGTAGTCCTTAGAACTCGATATTGTTTAATTATCTTAAATTTTCATATAATGATATTGAAAGCAAAGCTATCCCAAATAATGTGACTTAAAGGGCAAAAATAAATGCTCCATCCTACCTCAAAAATCTCTTCTCCACCACCTACTAAGGTGCCCAAAGTTCCCACGGAAGCTACCATGGGCAAACCTTTCTTTGGGAGTCAAATGACTATGAGTAGCTTTGTCGAAGCTTGCTGTGCAACTTTGAGGTATCAATCATTGCTCAGACACCAGTCTCCCACCTTTTAAAATAAGGAGTCCAACTAGATTATGTAGCTAATTTAGAACCATGGACTCCCAAGTTAAGGTGTGAAAGGAAGTTAACTCTATTTCACAATGGAAAGAACCAAAGAAATAATCAACTCCTAACCTTAGCACAATTAATTTACTTAGTTAACTAGTAAAACATGGCACTAAAGAATGCGAACAGGACACTTAAGTTTGGATGACGTGAGGGAGAACTCCAGGTAAATCTCTCAGCATGAGATATTGCCTAGAATTAGACCTCAGAGGTCCAGATCACTCGCCGTCTGCTCCACGACACTCTATCCACGGTCTCCCCAGACCATTCTCACCGGACATCTGCAACTCTCCTATACCTAACAAGTATGGCCCGGTAATGTCCTCTGTCTCCTTTCAGATGTATAATCCATGACAATAGAGAATGCATCCTAGTCTTTCTATCCCATATAACACCTAGCAATATGCTTTACACAGAGATGTTCAGTAAAGCGAGATATTTAAATAAAGGGTAAGGAGCTAAGGAAGAATTTTCAGTGGGGACCCATCAACAGGCAAGAGAAACCAGCCACAAGAAAAGAAAATTACAGGCCAATATCCCTGATGAACATAGATATAAAAGCCCTCAACAAAATATTAGCAAAATGAATTCAATAGTACATTAAAAGCATTGTATACCACAATCAGAACATTACATCCAAAAGCAACAGAATACACATTCTTCTCAAGTGCACATGAAATATTTTCCAGGATAGATCGTACGTTGGGCCACAAAACAAGTCTTAATAAATTTAAGAGGACTGAAATCATATCAAGCATCTTTTCTGACCATGTGGCATGAAACTAAAAATTAATAACATGAAGAAACCTGGAAAATTCACAAATATGTGGAGATTAAACAAGATACTGCTGAACATAGTGATGAAAGGTTAAAAACTTTTCCTCTAAGATCAGGAATAAGACAGGGATGCCCACTTTTGCCACTTTTATTCAACACAGGACTGGAAGTTCTAACTAGAGCAATTAGGCAACAAAAAGAAAAATAAGGCATCCAAATTGGAAAGGAAGAAATAAAACTGTCACTATCTGCAGATGACGATATATGTAGAAAACCCTAAAATACTCCATCAAAAAACTGTTAGAACTAATAAACGAATTTGGTAAAGTTGCAGGATACAAAATCAATATGCAAAAATTTGTTGTGTTTCTATAATGAACTATCAAAAAGAGAAATAAAGAGAACAATCCCATTTACAATTGCATCCAAAAGAATAAAATACCCAGGAACAAATTTAACCAAGGAAGTGAAAGACTTGTACACTGAAAATTGCAAGACATTAATGAAAGAAATGGAAGACACAAATAAATGGAAAGATATTCCATGCTCATGGATTGGAAGAATCAATATTGTTAAAATGTCCATATTACTCAAAGCCATCTACAGATTCAGTGAAATCCCTGTCAAAATGCCAATGGTATTTTTCAAAGAAATAGGACAAATAATCCTAAACTTTGGTATGAAACCACAAAAAAACCTCGAATAGCCAAAGCAGTGTTGAGAAAGAACAAAGCTGGAGGCATCGAGTTCCCTGATTTCAAATTGTATGACAAAGCTATAGTAATTAAAACAATGCGGTATTGGCACAAGAACAGACACATAGATCAATGGAACAGAACAGAGTCCAGAAGTAAACCCTCACATATATGGACAATTTATTTACAGCAAAGGAGCCAAGAATATACAATGGGGAAAGGACAGTCTCTTCAACTAATGGTGTTGAGGAAACCTGACAGCCACATGCAAAAGAATGAAGCTTGACCGCTATCTAACTCCATACACAAAAATAAACTCAAAATGGATTAAAGATTTGAATGTAAGACCTGAAACCATTAAACTCCTAGAAGAAAACATAGGCAGTACGCTCCTTGATGTAGGTCTTGGTGATGATTTTTTGAATCTGATACCAAAACCAAAAGCAACGAAAACAAATAAGTGAGACTATGTTAAACTGAAAAACACAGCAAAAGAAACCATCAACAAAACGAAAAGGCAACCTACTGAATGGAAGTTGCCTAGAATGGAAGAATTTGCAAATCGTATATCAGATAAGGGCTAATATGGGAATAGTTCATTTTATTGCATTTTGCTCTAGTGCCCTTCACAGATACTGTGTTTTTTAGAAGACCCTCTACCGCCAAAAAGATTATGACTCACTGAAGGCTCAGATGATTGTTAGCGTTGTTTTGCAATAAAGTATTTTTTGGTTAAGGTATCTATGTTGTTTTTTTTTAGATATAAGCGATTGCACACTCAATAGACTACAGTATAGTGTAAACATAACTTTTATATTCACTGGAAAACCAAAATCTTTGTGTGACTTTGCTTTATTATGCTATTCACTTTAATGCAGTGGCCTGGAAGTGAACCCACAATATTTCCAAGGTATGCCTGTATCCAAAATATATAAAGAACTCACACAACTCAATAGCAAAACAGAAAATCCAATTAAAAAATGGGCAGAAGATCTGAATAGACATTTTTCCAAAGAAGACATACAGTAGGCCAAGTACATGAAAAGATGCTCAACATCATTAATCATCAGGGAAATGAAATCAAAACCACAATGAGATCACCTCATACCTGTCAGAATGGTTATTATCAAAAAGACAAACAATAACAAGTGTTGGTGAGGATGTAGAGAAAAGGGAATTCTTGTACACTGTTAGTGGGAATACAAATTGGTGCACTTTTGAAAACAGTGTGGAGGTTCCTCAAAAAATTAAAAATAGAACTACCATATGATCCAGCCATTCTTCTTTTGGTTATTTATCCAAAAAAAAAATGAAAAAACTAACTTGTAAAGATATATGCACCCCCATGTTCATTACAGCATTATATACAACAGCCAAGATATGACAACAACCTAAGTGCCATGGAAGGATGAATGGATAAAGAAATTGTGAGAGATATATAATATATCATATATATATATAATATACATATGTAATTCAACCATGAAAAAAGAATGAAATCTTGCCATTTGCAAACATGGATGGCTCTCAAGGGCATTATGCTAAGTGAAAGGTCAGACAGAGAAAGGCAAATACCATACAACCACTCTTATATGTGGAATCTAAAAAAACGCTCCAAAATCAGAAAACAACCAAGCTCCCAGATACAGGGAACAGATTGGCGGTTGCCAGAGGCCAGGGTTGGGGGTAGAAGAAATGGGTAAAGGAGGTATGAATTTATTAGAAGTTAAATAATAAATAAATAAATGGTAGGGAGCTAAGGGAGAATCTTCAGTGGGGACCCCTCGGCAGACAAGAGAAACAGGAGTTCATCAAGGAATTGGAGAAGAGAGTGTTAAGGAAGGCTAGGGCACAAATAAAAAATAAACATTCTTGCTTCACAGTTTTGCTTACGGTTTGCTTACAAGTACAAAGATTTGGGTTTCCAAATCTTTTCAAATTTTAGGCCAGCCTTCTAAAAGGAACTCAAAAGCAGACTTGGGCGCTGATGTAGTTTTCTGTAAGTCAGTGTTCAGCATTTAAATACAGCCCTTGATGGCCTTTAACAGAAATGTGTACTTGTATGGGCATAGGAAAATGAGACGCACGCATTAAAAAAGTCGCTTTTGAACCAATTCGATTTCATTCCAACAGTGTTGGGTGGTCTTACCGGTTCTCCTTTATCCCCTTTCTGACCAGGTGAACCTGGAGCTCCCGGGAATCCTGCTTCTCCCTGAGCAAAAATGAATTTCTGTGTTACCAAACGTTCTGTCACATTGAGCTAAAGACAAATAGTTTATAACTATGAAGTTGATAACAGTAAGATGAAGTTTTGCCCTCCTCTGAGCTGATGCTAGTCCGTCCTCTGGAATGCCCTTCTCCCCTTGTTCTTGAGGCTCCCTACTCTCCCTCTGCCAAATGCCATTTAGCATCATCTCCTCCACGAGAACTTCCACAGCCTGGGACACATGCTGCTTCTCTATGGCCCCCACGTACCTTGTCCTTGCCCTTCTCGTGGAGCTTCCTATATGGTACCGGTCGCCAGAGGAAACATAAGGTTCCTCTAGACTTTCACCTCACCCCCATGTCCCCTCCTGCAGCCGGGAGAAAAGTGGTCCCAGGATGTGTTAAGTCCAAGTGCATGTATCAAGTCACAGTGCTAGGGGACACTCTGCTCTAACTGGGGCAAGTTTTCCTTTCCTCCTTCCTTTCCTCAGGTTTGGACATAGAGGAAAGCCATCAAGAGATCACTCAGCCTGCTCTTAGCACAGCCTCATGACTGCCATTAACGTCCACAAAAGCAGTCACGGAGGTCCGTGGCCCAGCCTCCACGACCAAGGGATCATATTGGTACAAGGGGAGCAAGTTCTCTGAGCAATAGCAGAGCCCCACTGCATATCCCCATGCAGCTCACGGTGGAGGGAGACAGCTGGTTGGATATGTGGGGATAGTGGACGCACAGTCTGCACACAACAAAGAAATACTGCGTAGAGTAATGTGTGTGTGTTGAAGAGTGGGTACCGTGTTCCCTCAACTGTGAATTCCCAGAGCTGAAGCCGATTCCTGGCACATGTTAAGTACTCAGTACTTGTCAATGGCAGGTAGTTCCTCCCTTCGCCTTCCTATTCATTCTAATGCCCACCCTGGAAAGAGGGCCAGATGGCCTCAGAACTATCCAGGATATCCTATCTCCAGCTCCCTTCTGTTAACCCACCCCAGGGACTGAGTGGCTTGTGAGTTTGATTCAACCAGCACTAAAGAGCGAGAGTCACATTCAGGGGTAGCAAGGGTAGACGAAAACCACCGTACCTTGTGTGGAATGCACTGGCACTGGGCTTTAAGTCCCTGTTTTGCTGGCAGATATATAGACATTTTACCGGCATGAGCAGGTACTGATGACGATGTGGTACTTTCAAAGCCATCCTGCTCTGGACACTAAAATCCAAAAAGAGGCTTTAGGAAATGGAATCAATTCCAAACATTCCGACACTCCAAATACTGGCTCCTGCTGAGCTAGGGCCGACCGGGGTTACCCGCAAGAACTGCCTTCTAATTAACCAAAAGTTGACACGAGTATATGGAGGTTTATAACGCCTTTGCTCCCTCACTAGGCCCCCCGTGTGTCTTATTACACTGACAACACACTAGAAATGGAGAAACTGCTGGTTTTGGTGAGAAATTCTAAAGCTATTATAGGTGAATTTATGACAAGTATAGTAATATTAAACATTTATAATAATTGTGTCGTTACAATAAAGTAATTTATAAGTGACATCTGTATATGTGTTTGGAAACAAACTTTCAAAGAACGTAATTTGAACTTATAAAACACAGTTTACTTCAACAAGATGATTGTAAAGCCATGTAAAATTAGAAAATAAATTCTTTTTAACTCTAAGATGGTATATATTTAAAGTACATCTTATTTCAGTCCATTGTCCTTTAAAGTTATTAAAAAGTCTCCACCGTAACAGACAAATGATGAATTTTATACTTATCCAGTGAGTTCAGAACATGTGGGACGACATGCAGTGGAATTTGGTTACAAAGCAATAAACTTTTTTCTCTCAAAAAATAAATCCAGATGGAGAGTCTAAAGAGGATAAAGGCATCCTTTCCTCTCAGCATCATTCACCAGGCTCCTCACCATGGTTTGTAGCTCTGAATTTGCAATCTCATGCATTTGCAACTCAGGGAAAGGGGTCACACATTACTTTGTAAACTACAAACATATATGCATGGAAGGACATTGTCAGGATACAGAACTAAAAGATCATCATTTATTGTGGTGGTTATTTATTGTGGGGAGATCATGGTTGATATTTGCTTTTTTCTTTGAATTTGACCATATTTTCTAAGTTTTCTATAAAAAATATAAATAACTTTTAAAGTAAAAATATTTGACAACAACAACAAAAACTGCAAGAAAAATAGCACCGGAAGCACCGTGACTGGTTTCCTGTCTTCACCACTGGTTCTATCACATCGACTTCCTCCAGATTTAATAATCAGCTATTTAGTTATCTTAGCACATTTCCCAGTCCATAAGTCTAAAAATCACATTCGAATAAAATACAATTAACAAAAAACAGCCCATTATTCTCATCTGACTGTACGATTTCCCAGCCAGTTCCTGCCCATGGGTTTCCAGTCAGATAACTAAGACCAAGTGAGAGTCCACAATTTTGCTCCAGATAACTGATTCGCTGTATTAAATTGGGGATTTAAATGACTTTAAAAGTAGGTCTCAAGCTTCACTATGAAACTGTCCACACGCTCCATAAGGTGCCTTAAGGGAACATAAAATGTACAAGCACAGACTCCTCTCATCGTACAACCTCTGGTTTTGGTTTGGCACATTTGCAGTTAATTGACCCTCAAAATTTTAATCATATTTCTTCTTTATTTTCAACAAATGTTGCTAATTTCCTCCTTCTGTTCATATTTGTTCTCTGTTCTCTCTCTGTCTATAATCATGAAACTTGACTGCTTCAGAAACAGAAAATCTAATTAATAGAAGCAAAGAAGTATTTTTACGGATTATCTTGAATAAATTTCACCTTTGAAATATGCTATAAAATATTAATAACAAAAATATGTCTGGTTTTAAATTCTAGGAAAAAATTAGATTTTTAAGCAAGTACGTTAAAATTTTCTGAATTCAACACATTTTTCAAGAAAAAAAACAGTTGGTGTCAAAATTATAGCAGGTGCACTTAAATGGCTTTTATCTAATTATTTATCTTCCAAACTATATATCCCGACTTGTAAAACATAGCACATTTCTGTTTTCTCTTGATCATTAACAGAATGGGGATGTCTCTCCAAATAATTATCAACAGGAAAATCAACAGTCTTTCGTTGTTTTTTTCCATAGTTTGAGATGAATTCCTACCTTATCTTCTCCTCTTTAAAACTAACTCCTAAATAACCTTCCTAAAACATGATTAAAATTTTATTTCATAATTTGTGAGGTCATGTCACTGCTTTTAATTTCCCAAACCACTCCATCAAATCTAAAACCTGTACTTCCTTAAACAGTTTTCTCATAATTCAAGTAGAAAATATCTATCATGTGATGACACAGAGTAGTGACTATTGGTCAAGAATATAATATTTAGATACATCAAAACATCATGATGTTACTTTTCAATCAGGGAAAATTATTATTTTAAGAGCTCTTACATCAAAAAAGTGTAACTAAAAAAAAAAACTTTTGGAGAATTAACATGTTCAAGACTTAAATGTGTGGCTCCAGGAAGTCTAGGTATTTCAAGCCTGTAGACTGGCATTCTAAGTTATCTTTCTAGATATTTATAGAAAGGTATTTGGCTGACTTTCATTTTACTTGGAATGAGAGCCATAAACTGAGTTGGAGATATGCTTTATGAAACCAAGTTACATAAGCAAAACTTATAAATTTGAAAGACTTAGCTATGCTTTGAGTCAGCTGGTCACTTTATTATTCTGCTTCCCACAGTGAGTGATAGAAGTTAAAAACATTTTTGAGCTATTAAACTATTGATAAAATTTCCATATAATTTTCTATGGTAAGTGTAGAGCTTCTGGGAAATCTAAGCTACAAAGAAAAACATTTTCACCTTTTACTTTTACTTTTCATATGTTCTATTTGTAAGACCTTTTGGAATTAGTCCCTTTAAAACCCTTTTTTGTCCCATCTTTCTCCTTCAGTAGTTGATAAGTCAACAAACCAAGAAACAACATTTTGACTACTATTCTACAAAAAAAGTGCTAAGAATAAAAAAGAAGAATATAAAAGTATAACTCCCCTCAATGTGTTTAAAATGTGGCAGAATAAATTAAAAACAAATACAACTATATCCAATATATAAGATGCCACATATGACATCACAATGAGAGATACAGAAAGTATTGAATTCAGTAATTTTTTTTGAATGGAAGATTAGTACAAGAAAGTAACAGTTGTGTAGTTAGGCTGGGAATATTAAGAATGAGCGGCTAAGGGGCCAGTCCAGTGGCCTAGTGGTGGGGTTCATGCACTCAGTTTCGGTGGCCCAGGATTTGCTGGTTCAGATCCCAGGCACAGACCTACACACTGCTCATCAAGCCATGCTGTGGTGGCATCCCACGTATAAAATAGAGGAAGATTGCTGCAGATGTTAGCTCAGTGATAATCTTCCTCAGCAAAAAAAGGATGATTGGCAACAGATGTTAGCTCAGGGCCAATCTTCTTCATCAAAAAAAAAAGAAGAAGAAGAAGAAGAATGAGAGGCTAAGAAACTGGATTTCCATTGTTTCCAACAGGGAGTGACCAAAGGCTTTGAGAAAGAGATGAACAGAGGACAGGGAACATGCCTTGTTCGTGTCTGTTAGCCTTCTTCCTTAGCACAATGTCTAGAAGATCAATGTTGTTGACTAGTAAATGTTTAGTGGAAGAAAGTAAATGAATACACAAAGCAGTGATTCAGAGACATACTGTGGTCATGCTAGAAAGGAAAAGGACTGGTGACAGGTAAGGCAGCTGACACAGTACCACCACAGTCTGGGCATGAATGGTAAAGGCAAGCCACAGTAATAACAGGGACAAGGAAGATGCAGATGGAAAATCTATCACCAAGGAAAACTATCCAGGATGGGTGACAGGCTGGAAGAGGGAAATGAGGGAGAATGTGGTCTGATCACAGACTGAAAACTCCTGTAACGGGAAAATGATAGTGCTACTGTCAGAACCTAGCTTAGGGAGAAACGCGTAAATTCTCTTTGACCATGTTGAGTCCAAGCGAGGAAACATCCTTCCCGAAGTTCAGGACGACACACTGGGATTAAAATTGTGAGAAGGAACTACGGGAGAGCACTAAGAGGGGTCTCTTACTTGGAACAAATCACTCTCCTGGCTTCACCAGAAGATACTCAGGGCTGCCCTCCCTTCGGACTCTACGGACCAGGCAACTGAAAGATGACAGGCGTTCCATGCTCTTCACAGGCCGGAAAACGAACTTACCTTCGTCCCCGGCATTCTGCAACACGCTTCCTGAGCTATGAAGTCTGAGCTACAGTAGATTTTCAGTTGGTGAAGTTCAATCTATTAAAAAATTAGTAATAAGACACATCATTAGTTTTTCGGAGAATCACATTGAGGCACTTAAGAACTATGATCATTTAACTGGAAAGAAAAAAAAAGAAGCTATATAAACAAATTACTAGTAGACATGTTTAATGTTTTTATTCAATTTAGGACTCATGATTTTATGAACCATTTGAGAAATAGGCTCAGTTATTGAGATAAATCAACATATAAAGAAAATCAGGTAATGGGAGCAAAGGCAAACCTGGGCTAGTTATTTCAAACAATAAAAAAGAAGTATTCAATAAAAAAAGAGGTACTGTCACGCACTACAATAAAGTGTGCCCACAAAATGAGGAATATTTCAAAGTAAAAATTTCTGGAGAAAAAGTGAGTCAAAGGTGTGAGCACCTGATAGAAAGGCTTTATCCGTGGTTCCAGGCCTCCTATTTGAGGCACCAAGCCAGATGCTCACTTACCAATAAGAAAAAGAAATGGTATTTAGTTTTTATCTATTTTTCATGGAATCTCTCCAACACCTATGGATTTTATATTATATTGGCATAGTCCTGAGCAAGACTCACAATCTTTTCACAAAAATAACTGATTCTTTCTATTTACTCAGCAGATTCACATTTTTTTGGCATGTGGACATGAAATTAAAAGTTCAAGGAAAGTGCAATCATGCTTTTACACGCAAGATCACCCACCACAAAAGAGAAAGAAAATGGTACAGACTATTGGGAAAATTTCCCTATGATAGATGCGTAAAGAGGCTATTTTAAATTAGTTTGTGGTTGCAAATTTAATAAGTAACCGTATGATGGCATGACACAGAACACAGGTCAGGAGCAACCTCTTCCCTCCCATCCTCCTCCCCACCTTTCTCTCTCTCTCTGCCTCTCTGCACCTCTTTCTCTGTCTCCCAATGTAACAGAGCTGGATCATGCATTACTTAGGTCAGTAAGCACTTCCTATAGAAGAACTCTACTGTAATATCATAATGACTAATCCTGCAACAGAAATAGAAAACAGACATCTGCTTTAGTTCTGAATACCTACTCCAACACTAAAAAAGCAAAAAAGGAGGAAAAAAAGCTGCAACTATTAGTCACACTGAGATGAACAAAATCAATTCAGCCCATAGGAAGCATTAAAAACTCCAGACACTTTGTGGATACATGAGCAGCCTAAGATTTGCACCCAATGCAAAATTCTGAGACAAAACGAAACTTGATTTCTTTTCTATAACTTTTTGCAAGGTTATTGAAGCTAACTTTTATTTATAAAGTTTAAATATACTGTCTCACACAGTCTAATGAGACACCAGGCAGAACATACTCATTACGTAGAATGAAGAATGGGGACTCCAAATAATTAATATTCTTAACTAAAACTTATTTATCATCATCATTGTTATCAAAATAGCCAATAAATACTGGAATTCTATTATGTACCATCCACTGTGCTAGGCCCTTCATATGAATTATTTTACTTAACTGAAGATAGATGATCAATTTTTAACGAAGTAGAACCTCATCAAGTACCCACGACATTGAAAGTACACTCAGCCCCATCTAATTATGCCTCTGTTCTTCAGCAGTTACTTTAGATTCCTTCACTGACACAACAGTTTAGAAGGAAAATGTTTAGGGCTAAGTCTTTACTGACCCTTGTCACACAGGATGTGTTTGTTTAAAAAAAAAAAATCCTTTGAGAGGAAGATGGGCACAGATGTTAGCTCAGGGCCAGTCTTCTTCAGCAAAAAGAGGAGGATTGGCAGCAGATGTTAGCTCAGAGCTAATCTTCCTCAGAAGAAAGAAACAACAAGCAAAAATCCTTTGTATCAATTTTGTCACCTATCTCTTTCTCACAAAGCACATGGGTGGTATATGTAAAATAAAACCCAAGCACTAGAATTTTTTTCAATATCATACATTCTGAATAAATAAAACATTTTCACATTATAACAGATCTTGAACCACAGAGCTTGTAAGGAGGTAATGAAAAATTAATCTACTTCAAGTTTTAGTAGGACCAAGAATCTTTTAAAAATAAAATATATATTTTATTTGTTTGCTTAACTAAAACAGTGTCCATCTCCTAAAAAAGCTGCATCATTGTGTGATGGCTTTATTTTTATCCTAAATGAACTGATTCCACATTAAACTATGAAACTACTGTAAACCTATAATTTTACATTATGCCTTTTGATAAGGGCACACCCAATATTCTTCAGCCTCAGGTTCTGGGATTAATTCTTTCCCTGGGCGAGAAGTTAATGAGAGCCTGGACACAATACTCCACCTTCAGAGGGTGGGCTCTGAGCCTGGACCCTGCTCTTGCAATGACTTGCTCTCGTTGCCGTCTCTTCCCGAAAGGTCATGAATCTGTCTCTGTGTGCTCCTTGTTCTTCCAGTGCCTCTGGAACCAGAATCCACTTTGCTCTCACTAGTCCCATAAGAGACCAGATTCCAGTCCCGACCTCGGGGACCTGCAGCAGCTACGACCGCTACTCCCTGCTTCCATTGCTAGGACGCCCTGAAACTGACTTCCTGTCTGCCTACACTCCATCTTCTGCTGGAGGTTTCACCTCTGATGTTCTGGCTGCTGGTCTCCACTTCCTCCCTTGTCTTTGGAAAGACCTTCCTGAAAGGTCTGTCCAGGCCTGTTGTAGTTACAATGAATACTGTTATTATTATTGGCAGCCACCATTTACTGATAGAGACTGTAATCCTCCCATTAGCCTTCAAGATCTTTGAGAGCAGGAGTAGCAGGCTTTTCGTATTTTGGTTTTCTTGCCACTCTCTTATGCCAGGGTTGATGGCATGTCCGGCCCTGAGTAAATAAATGAATTTATAGAGAACTGATCACACACTAGGCGCCAAGGGACATACTCTATACAATTATACCTGGTAACTCTACCAACATTATTTTATAATTGAGGATACCGAAACTCAGATAAATGAACAGTTTACAAGATAAATTAGCAGATCATAACATTAAATAGATGGGCTTAGACTTACAACCACAACTCTCTGATCCTCAAGCCAGCTCGCTCTCCGGACGTCCTGGTGTCTTGTCTGTAGGACCAGCTGCTCCTGCTCTAACCTATTCTGGGGACCAGCACTGAGCCCTAGTCCTGACATTCTCCCTGATTTGTTCCCTGTCTCTAAGAGAAGACAGTGTAAAAATAATTGTTCATTGAATATGTATACAATATATGTAATATCTATCCATCTATCATCTATCTATTATTTATCTATGTATGATTTCTTCCACAGGGACCTTTAGAAATAATATGCTGGTCAGATATGTATTTGCCCATAATTGTATGTTTGAAATAAAACTAAACTGTTAAATGTTTTGTGTTAAAAGCATTAGCAATTCCTATTGGTGACGTGAATTCAGATTATGTTTATGAATTTTCCCATCATTCTACCCACAGGGAAACGTGAAGTCATCAAATTTAGATATGTCACTTTTTAAATATTATAGACCTTGTTTTCTAGGGAAATTAACAATAAATCTATATCATCTGAGCATCCAATGTAATTTTTAAAGGACTTTTTCATCTGAAGGGGTTCTAGTGGGCAACTGCTCTCACCTTAGTGACCTACTGATACAACTAGTGGTGGTGTTTCAGTGCAACAGAACCCTAAAAGCCATTATCAGCTTATGAAAAATAGTGTGCAATGCAAAAAAATTGTGATTCTGAGGATGAATAGTCTATTGTTCTCAAATGAAAGCATCAGATAATCTGGAACCATTTAATTTCAAGTTCATCTTTTTCCAGTCCTTTCTATTCAAAATATATGTGCTTAGACCAAGCTTACTTTTTGTCTCATATTTTCAATTTTTACCAAAATTTGATTTTAATAACCTTATTTTTTAAGGCATGATCTATTTCTTTTAAATTCAGGCCAAACAAAATGGGTGAAAATAGATAGAAGATAATATATGTGAAAATACAGTTGGAAATTCATACACAGCTATGTTTCACGTATCTGATGGCAAATTAATTCAAATAGCTGATGGCAAATTAATTTAAACAGTAATTAACATTAATTGAGAAAGAAACATATTACATAACAATTAAAGGAAGAAAGTTTTAATAAGATGTTTCGTTTTAATTTAGAAATTTTACTAGTTCTCTTTCACAACCAACATCAGAACTCACGTCCACAGGCTTGCCGTCTGAGGCACGAGCAGCGATAACAGTCCTCCCACGGAAATCCACAGCGTCCTTTTCATCGGTTTGCCGGCTTGCAATTAAAGTACAATCCATATAGAGTGAAACGCCCCTGGACTGCACTCCGATGCCAAGCTTATGCCACTGACGATCAAACAAGAGACGGAGTTCTCGATTTTTAAAAATGTAGTTCAACACATCTCCCTCAGCAGCTCGGAACATAAATTCCACCACCTTCTTTCCACCATCAACGACTACAGAAACCTGCAAAAATGCAAATTATTTTTAAATATTTTAAAATCATGTTCAAAATTATTAAAGATCACAAATAAAAACCCAAGATGCCTGTTAGTATAACTGAGGCACTTAGTAAAATGTTCTAGAGAACACCTGTGCCCACCAGGTTTGTTACCATAAAAGAACAGCAAATATCCAGCTACAAAAATGGCTTAAATATGGGACATTCTGGTGAATATAATATGCTCCTTTCTTGAGAGAACATCTAAGAGCCTATATGTGTGCGTGAGTGTGTGTGTGTGTGTGTCTAAGTATATGTATAATTCTGTATGAGTAATTCAAGAATCCAATGTTACTAATTTAAAAAGAATAAGAATGCGATCACTTCCCTTAGCATGGAAACTGAGATCAACGTCTTTAACCTTTGATGATTTGCATGGTGCAGAGAAAATGCATTTCACAGAAGACCTACTCTTTCAGTTCAGTTCATCTTCCCATCATAAAATTGTAACTGTATTAACCGATTAAAAGACCAGTGAAGATGAAAAACATTTCAATGGATTTGTGTAGAATTAAACACAAATGTATGGTGCTGATAAGTAACACTGAGGTTCATGTCCCTCCCTAGAGTATCTGCACCCTGCCTTTCTGCCCCAATGCCATCTCTTCCACAAGTATTGCTGGATTCCTGCTCTCCTGTGCCCCATTTTGGGGAGCTGTCCTTTCTGTGTTCCCACAGTCGCCACCCAACTCCGAGCCTTCCTCTGCACTGCATCTTCCCACTGGGATGATGTTCTATTATGTTGTTCTGGATGACACCCCCTTCGCCTTAGGCACCCTGACAGGAGGAATCATGCTTTCTAAATCTCTTATCTTTGTCACTAATGATCATAAAGCACGTGTTCAATAAATTTTTGTTGATAGAATCAATATTTATATTTCACCTCTTAATTCACTAAGGATTTTCAGATGAAACAATGAACAGCTTTAAAAATAACATAATATCAGAAATGATAGGAGATAAGTTAGTGAGGAGGACTTAGTGTCAATTAAGCAGTTGTGAAGGAAGGGCAATTTGAACGTCTTTAAACAAAAGATGAATCTAGAAGTAAAAAAACCCCAAAAATGTAATCTTGTCTCACCCACCAGGTTCTCGTATTATAGATCTCAGCAAGACCATCCTAACTAGGAGAATACTTGGATTTCCCTGTCAGTGATTCCTCTAAAAGACAGAATATTCCGATACCAGATCTGCTGCCAAATTGGTACACACAGTTCCAAGATTCACTTTTCCTAATCACACAAGAGAAAACCAGTCAGCACGACTCCATGGTTCCTCACCTGTGGCATATTCTCCTGGTCTAGAATCTGCCACAGAAACCACCGTTCCTTCTTGGTGCTTCTTCGTACACGAAACGTGGCTGCTATGGCGTACTCCTCAGGAAGGCCTTTGGGAAAGATCTTACTGTGGGAGGAAAACAGAGAACTTCTGTGGGAAAACTGAAGATGGCAAAGGAGGAAAACCCAGGCATGAGGTTCTACATAACACACTATTTCCGTCATATTTTTCTCAATGAATTTAAAATTCATCATGCACTTTACAGTAATCTCCCTAATGGATATATGGAAGCAGCCAAGCCTACATTACCTATGGAATTTTTATCCTTGTTCTTTCTCTTTTCAAAATTTTCTGGTAAAGCTTGGGGTGTGTAAAAGCAAGCGAGTAGGTTACAGCCTATGTTGTGATATTTCCTCACCCAACAAGAAGCTCCAGCAGAGTCTCTGAATTTGCTGTGCTCTGGCAAGCGGTGGAGGTTTACAGAGGAGAGAAATAGAACCCCTGGGCTTTGTAGGTAGAAAGAAGTACAGAGCATTTCAAAGAAAACTGCTAACAACTAAATATATATTTTCCAAAGAAGAAGTTTTATCATATTAAACTCTTGAAAATGAGCTCCTAACATTGATTTCATGGTACCAATTTAAAACTGACACTAAGTACAACAAAGAGGTTTTAGCTTACTCTTCATTCCTACAGAAAATAAAACGAGCAAATTCTTTCTAGGCAGCAGAAAGAAGCCAAAAGACAGTCCAATTATCCTTCTGCCTCAATCTTGTTTCAAAATACTGTGTCACTGGATCCATGAAGAAACTCAGGGAAAAAATTTCACAGTGAACATAGCTCACATTTAGACTTTCTTTGGAAAACAAGGAGAAATACACTCCTCCAAGGTGACTTTTAAATTTATCTGTATTGTATGTCAAAACTCTGGAAGGCTGGAATCTTGCTTTTCTTTTAAAAAAATCATAAGGAGTAGTAGGTAAGAATTCTCATAAGGATTCACATAGCCAGAAGCTGTTTATATAGATAAGACACAACACACTGAGATGATAACTACTAACTTCAAATATTACACTAAGGTCGACTGAAACTGACAACCAACTGTCATGGAGAATTCTGAAATGTGACTTGTACCTTTTGGTAGAGACAAAGTCACATGTGGTAATGGAAATCAGGAAAAAATATGAAAAACCTGTGCTGTCCTTGCTTGCTTAAACACACACACATGTATTTATGTATATATATGTATGCATGTGTGTGTGTGTGTATATATAGCCTAGTTTTATCTTCTTCTTTGAGAATATATTAAAAATAGAGACAACCAACTTTATTGCCTCTATATTATCATATCCCCTCCTAAGAGAGTAAGGCATTAGCAAATCATTTGTTTTCCATCCCTCAAAATAAAAGAAACCTTCTAAAATGGAATTTCCTCTGGAAAGTCACCAGTATTAAATCAAATTTTACAATGACCATTACTGTACTGGTTTAAGAAATGTTGTTCATTAAAAACAACAACGGGGCTGTGATGCCTGCCATTTCTCTTTGGGACCACCTATGAACCTGAAAGTTGGGCACAGGTAGTGGCAAGAGATGACACCAAAACATCGACTTCCAAATAGAAATTTTGAACTAGTAACTGCATCAAACTCCCTTTTCAAAGGAAATCCCAACCCACACGTAGGTGCCCCTCACATGCAGTAATAACTGTGTCTCCACCTTGCTCCCAACTTCCTCCACTTTTATCCTCTCTCCACCTTGATGCTTTTAGGATTGTGTTTGCATCCCAAGGGGTCTGGAATTTGACAATGCCATTTCCTGGGGATTTTCTTCCATTCACTGTATTGAGCCCATCTTTTGTTTAATTTATTTTTTTAGGAAGATTAGCCCTGAGCTAACTGCTGCCAATCCTCCTCTTTTTGCTGAGGAAGCCTGGCCCTGAGCTAACATCCATGCCCATCTTCCTCTACTTTATACGTGGGACGCCTGCCACAGCATGCCTTGCCAAGCGGTGAACCCTGGGGCCACAGAAGCAGAACGGAGCACATCTTTCAATACGGGCTGTGCATCACTGAGAAAATTTTTTGTAAGTTTTTTACTTTCCCCATGTCATTTTCTCTTATCCCCTCTTTCAGGAATTCCCTTTTTAGACAATTGTTTAACTCCTATATTAATGATCTGATTTTCTCAACCTCTCTCTTATATTTTTCTATATCCTTATTTATTCTACTTTCTGGGATATTTCCCTGATTTATTTTCCAATCCTTCTATTCAACATGAAGTTTTGTCATTTTTTTAATTTCTAAGATTCTCTTTTGTTATCTTTTTCAAAATATCCTGCATTCGGGATAAATCTCTGATGTTATCTATTAGGTGGGCTTTTATTTTTTTATTATTATTATTTTTTATTTTTTTCGGGGGAAGATTCTCCCTAAGCTAACATCTGTTGACAATATTCCTCCTTTTTTTTCTTCTCTTCCCTGCAGCCCCCAACTGCCTTGCAAAACCCAAGTACATAATTGCGTATAGTTGGTAAGTTCTGGTTTTTCTATGCGTGCTGCTGCCACAGCATGGCTACTGAGAGACAAGCAGTGTGGTTCCACGCCCAGGAGCCAAATCTGGGCAACGGAAGCAGAGTGCACCTAACTTTAACCACTACGCCATCAGGGCTGCCTCTAGGTGAGCTTTTAAACGTTTTTCCCTGAATCCTGGAACGTCTCATTTCATCCAGGTTGGCTTTTCCCGTTTGAAGGTTTGGGGTCTCTCTTCCATCTTGGAAGCTATACTCTAATTTTTGGTTTAATTTATAGTCTGTACATATTTAAGAATGAAGCACTTGCAAGCTTTATGTACACTGGCACAGTGTGTGTCAACAAACAAGCTTCCTCTACAGCAGGTCAGCTGGCAGATTTCACTGAGAGTCCCTGAGCTGCTAATGTGGGGAGCTTACTTCCTGAGCAGCATTCAGTTTTCCCAGAGAAGAATCCTCTGTCCCACGTGGTAAGAGCACTCACCTGGCTGCAGGCTGTCTAGAGCAGGGTGGGTGTGCCGGGGTCGCACAGTTTGGTCTAGATTTTTACTTTATCCCTCTGTTTCTGGAACCGGGCCTCCTTCCTGTCTTTGTCTTCCGCTTGCCCCTGGTCTGCAGGCTCTCTGGCCCAATTTCTCTCAATAATAAACCTCTTGCCTCTTCTCTGGTTAGATGAGGAAAGAGGAGGTAACCGGGGGCCTCATTTTCACTACACACACACCCCCCACAGCTTCTGCAGAAGCTGGTTCCCCCTGCTGATGAGTCTCTCAGGGTGCGGTGAGGGAACGGGCCCACACCTCACAGTGCGCCCCGTCCTGCAACAGGTCGGTTCTCCCTTCTTCCCATCTGTCGAGGGGATCATCAGTCTTCCCACTGCTTTCTGTCGCTGACGATGTACTGTTGCTTCAACTCCCCTTCTACAGTCATTTTTGCATTTTAGAGGGTGTAATACTCCTTTTAAACCTTCAATCTCTCCCTCTGCAATGGCCCTTTTATCTTGGTTTACAAATATATGCAAGTCTTCCCCCCACTATAAAACAAACAGACAAAACTTCCTCCAACCTATACTGTTATATTACCATCCCGTCTACCCACCAAACTTCTTAAATGAATACTCTGAATAGCTACATCGTCCCTATCCGCTCCACCCTTAACCCTCCTGCATTCTAAAAGCATTCCAGTCGGCTGCTCCACTGGCCTCATTCCCCTGAATCCTTCCGAAGAGGGTTTTTTCCTAAAGATTGGCACCTGAGCTAACAGCTGTTGCCAATCTTTTTTTTCTCTTTTCTTCTCCCCAAAGCCCCCCAGTACATAGTTGTGTATTCTAGCTGCAGGTCCTTCTAGCTGTACTGTGTGGGACGCTGCCTCAGCACGGCCTGATGAGCGATGTCATGTCTGTGCCCAGGATCCAAACCAGCAAGACTCTGGGCTGCCGAAGTGAAGCGCGCGAACTTAACCATTCTGCCACAGGGCCGGCCCCCTTCTGAAGGTTTTTAACACTTAAGATATCCTTTCTTCATTGATATAAGCCAAGAGCCACAACTACATGGCTATAGGGCCCAGCCGGGACACTAGAATGTAGCTTCCTTAGTTTCTTTTTCTATCCCATTCACCTTCTTGTTCCTGGCATCTAGAAGAGTGCCTGCACAAGACAGGTACTCAATAAATATTATTAAAGGAAACAATTAATGAATTGAATTCAGATATAAGCAATCAAAATTTTAAAAAAACCACCAACACAGGCCCTCTCAATCTAGCTTTGGTTTTTCCATCTTGGATAGAAATGTTCATATAAGAAAGTTTCACTCTCTTAAGACTTCTACAGGAAAAACAAATAGAGTAAGCAAGTTAATAACAGCAACTAACACTCATCTTCATGTGGGGGACACATGTGTGGACTGAGGGAAACTGAGAGCCCAGCCACTCCACAGGGGCAGCTGCTATCCAGCTCCAGCCAACTGTTACCATATGCGAACGTGGGTCCAGTGTTGCCAGATCATCCCATTTTTCAAGAGAAGCCAAATACCCAGATTTTTTTTATCTGAAAAGTTTAGAGTTTTAATTTTGGCAATTAATTCAGATTTTTCATAAACACTATCCAGACCAACACTGTGCAAACCAAATAAAAACAGCAATCGCTAGTTGGCCATCTTGGATCTACGCAAAGGTTTGCTAAGCACCCATCATGTGTAAAGCACTCTGAGGCTTACAAAGATGGAAAAAGAAAGGTTTCTGCCCTAATTGTTTCTAAAAATCGGTTGGGAGAAGGAAAACATCGACAGAAAATATAAGGAAGTGATATAAATTGGAAGAGAGTAGGGAAATATAGTGCACGGCCAAAATTAGAACTCAAGGTTGTTAATTGAAAACCTAGGGGTAGAAATGGGACTGCTTATAAAATCCTATAACAGCAGGCTGGTTTCAGTCCTTTTAAACTTAGTGAGACTATGGCCTAACTCATGGCCTATTCTGGAGAATGTTCCATGTGCACCTGAGAAGAATGTGTATTCTGCTGCTGTTGGGTAGGATGTTCTACAGCCTCTTACGTCTCATTGGTTTATAGATTTGTTCAAGTCTTCTATTTCCGTATCGATCT